TCTTTTTTTAAAGACGCACGGTTAAGCCCGAAACCTTCTAGTTCTAGATATAATAATAGAGTTAGTACTAATGTTAATTCATAAAAAATATTTATTCTGAAAAATTGTAAACGATTGATAGTTTCAAAACTAACTTTCAGTATTCGCTGTCGAATATCTGTAGACACCAGATTGTATATTAGCCATTTTATTGAAAATGCGCAAATATGCGCAATTTATTTTTTTGGGAGCGGAAAGTAGGCTTGAAACTACATAAAAAACAAATTTGAACCTGGGATCTTGAAATTGATATGCAAAATAAGTGTTAACTTTACATGTCATTTTTATCCAGAGTTGAAGTTAATAAAAAGTGGTTATTGCGGAGTAGCGAATATTACGATATAACCTAACGATCCCAATTTGCTGGTAATTTCAAACTTCCTAACACTGTGTCACGTGAAGCTACATACATACATACAACACTGTGTCGAGTCTTCCACGCAATCTTATATGAACCATTTAATCCCAATTGCTTCGTTGTGGCACATAATAACCAGAAAGGACACTTGTTTTACCATGTTTTAGAAGGGGCACTATGTTATTGGTGTTCTCACAACGAACGTTGTTCCGGTCCGCCGGAAGTAGACCACAACTTCGTTATTTTAAATGGAATGCTGATTGGGCCTACGTAGCAATGGTCCCCTATGCCTCACTGGTTTGGTGGCCAAACACAAATGATAAGACAGCACAACAACAGCTGGCACAAATCCAGCGGTTAACATGTCTTCATATAACAGGTGCTATGAGATCTTGCCCGACAGCTGCTCTCGAAGCCCTACTCGCTCTCACATCACTTCATTTATATATGTATATAAAATATGCTTTTCACTTAAGCTGATGCAGAGCAGTGTTGCCACACAGAGGACGCTGTAGTACTGTACTTGAAAACGAAAATTACCGTATTTTGTGTAAAAATACCGTACTTGTAACAAAAATTGTAGTGTCACAAAAGGTTTTGCGAAATAAATGCTATAAAATAAACTGAGCAAACAAATAGGTAAAAACTTATTTTAACTAAAACAAGCAATAATATTTTTTATGAAAACAAAATGACAAGTGTTGTACGATTTTAGAATCATGACTAAACAGGCCATCTTTTAGAATTAACTGCAAAGGGTGCTGTATTACTCCTTTTTTTAGAAATGGTGTGTCAAACTTAGTAGACATAAGTTTTTCAACCTCAATCAAACTAATAGGTTATTTTCGCAAAACTACCGACTTTTGTTACTTGATTTGCGACTTCTATACCATGGTATAGCATGGTTAATAAGGATTTCATTATTTGACCGTAGTACATAAAGATTTAACGATTTTTAGCATTTTCAGAAATATGTCTATTATCACTTAACTAAGAGAAATGGAATTTTTTTCTTATTTTTGCCAGTTGGCCTCTCGTGTATTACCCACTTGACATTGAGATTCGGGACACCTGTATATGGTCACAAACGGAATATTATAAAATTTAAACACAGAATCAGAATGAACAATAGACATGAAAATACAAGATATTATACGCCAATATAACAATATTTTTCTCATTGGTTATGTTAAAACAGTGTGGTTCCCCGTATACTGATTGAATAGCATTTTACTCCACCTGTTATGACGCCATCTAACGCTATCCTAAGTACAGTATGTATTTTTAAATTAAATTACAGATTTCTAAATTACCGTATATTTTTGTACGGTATTCACCTTTAGACCGTAACCGTACATTTAGGGGAATTACCGTACGTCTACGGTAATTACCGTACGTATGGGAACACTGATGCAGAGTAACCTCAGAGGACACGTCGAAATTTTCAAGGACCCATGTCTAAATCACTTGATTGAAAATAAAACGGTCCTTATACCCACAGAATACAATTTCGATCAGCCGTATAAGGTCTATATTTAGAAGCAGAGATGATTGGACGAAGGGTGGGCCTCAACTAAAAATAGGAGAAATAATACAAAATGTGTTTTGTACTTTTAAACTGGTCTTTAATTAGATATAATTAGTTTCGGCTACAAGCCATCTTCAGTGACTAGTTTTTGGACACAATAATAGATTAAAATATCAATTTTACATTTTTTCTAAAGTTACAAATTAAAATAAAATATAAAAGTTTATAGTAAAGTTTACAATCACGTTAACATTTTAAAAACTTATAACGTTCTGACTCTAAAAATACGAAGAACGTACTTAGAATATATTTAATATTTAGCGTCTCTGAAGATGGCTTGTAGCCGAAACTAGTAAGACTCAAGTTTATTATCTAATTAAAGACCAGTTTAGAAGTATAAAAAACATTTTATGTTATTTCTCCTCTTTTTGTTGAGGTTTACCCTTCGTCCAATAGATTTCGAATATAATTCTTTAAAAAGAGGTGCCCTTGCCTGGTAGACGGATGCTTCAAAGACAGTTGAATCCGGAGTAGGCATGGGCATTTAGTAGCATTAAATTGCCCCTCAGTTCAGACATAACCATTTTTCAAGCAGAAGTACTTCCTATAAACTTCTGCACCGCTTTGTACCTACAAAAGCTACAAAAAGGTGCATCCATAAAAATTTCTAAAGACAATTCAGACCTACAGAGAGTGTACCAGCAACTTGAGAGAACTTGCTAGGGGCAATGATGTTACTCTATGGCGGGTTGCAGGTCACAAAGACATTGAAGGCAATGAGAAGGCGGACAAGCTGGCCAAAGAGGCAGCGAAAACGTCCTTCATTGGACCTCAACTCGATTGTGGACTACAAAAAAGCCAGCTAAAACAAGTAATCAACAGTTGGGAGGCTTCAAAGTTACGCTGGAAAGAACTTCCAGGTCACAGACAAGCGAAGAGTGTGATAACTCCGTCGCAAAACAAAATCAAAGAGGTTTTTATGCCTCAGCAAAGGGGATCTAAGGACGCTCTCAGGTTTCCTGACCGGCTATGCGCCCCTAAAATACCACCTGTCCCACATTGGACAAGCTGAGGATCAATCTTGTCGACTGTGCAGTGACGAGTCAGAAACGGCTGAACATATACTGTGTAATTGCCAGAGGCCGCCTAAGACACAAAATTTTCGGTAAAGCTCTTTTGACCAGTGATGGGCGCTGGTTAAATACCCGGCGGGTAGGTATTTCTAAAATGGGTATTCATTCGGGTATTTACCCCGGCCCAGAGTAAATACTCAAACAGGGGATATAAAAGTGATACCAGTAAAAATATATCAGATTGAAGACGAGAATCATTAGACGAATCTGTCGTAATTTAGATTAAATCAAGTTATTATGATTATTATCATCAAGCAGCCCTCTGCGTCCATTGTTTGACATAGACCTCCCCTATTCTGTTCCATTGGATTCTATTCTGTGCTGTCTGAATTCAATTGTTCGTCATTCTTTTGACGTCTACTTCGTCTGTTCGCTCGCGGTCTCCACTCAAGCAACCGTTTTGTCCACTGCTCATACTTCATTCGCGCGACATGGCCCGCCACTTACGCTTTGCCGCAATGTTGACCACATCATTTACGCCAGTTCTTCTTCATAGGTCTTCATTTCGTATGTAGTCCCTCAGAGTTAGACCCAGGATCGACCTCTCCATCTACTTTTGTGTTACTTGAACCCTCCTGGCAGTGGCTACCGTTAATGTTAAAGTTTCGGAGCCTTATGTCATAACCGGAAGCACGCATTGATTGAAAGCCTTTCTTGGCCTTTTCTCTTGAAGATGTCTCTAAGTTTCTCGTAGGCTGCCCATACGAAGTTCATAGCCAAGATATACATAGCTGTCAACCCTCTCAACCTCATTATCTCCAGTGTTGATGTTAGAGCTGGGAACAAGATTTATCATAAATTTTGATTTCTCCTCGTTGATATTTAGCCCGACTCTTGCACGCGCTTCCTTTAAGTCGGTCAGCATTAGTTTAATCTCTCAAAATACTTAAGCATTTGCAATCAATGTTTATGCCTTTTTGGGTCCAATCCAGTTGTTTAAATGCACTCTAAGGACTGTGATGATCAATTTCGGTTCAACAGTGTATCGCCTTGTTTTACTCATAACCAGTACTTTAGTACTTCTACTCTCTTCAGCTCTTTCTGCTTTTAACACCTACCGACATAAAGGAACAAGATCTTGGAGCAATACTAAGGTTTATTAAGGACTTATATTAAGGACTTACATTTGCCCTAAACTTTTGGATGGCTAAAGTTCAATAGTACAATATTACTCCTTTAAAAACTAGGGGATGGAATTCAGAGTGAAACTAATCCTCAACAATTCTCTATAACAATTAGCTCGTTTGTTACATTTGCTTCAATTTGTTCAAAATTTTCTGTTCAAGGTCAAATGCAGAAGTGCTTTGTAAATTTTCCTAAAGAACATTTTGACCCTAAAGATGTAGCCGTTCTTCTTTACCAACTTTATGTACAAGGACCTGTTCAGTTCTAACTAAAAAGTCTGCATGTTGGCATGTTTTTTATACATATTGTTCTTTCTGCTTACCTAACCCAAAATTTTCTCTTTTTATTTCGATTGCATAATTTTAACTTCAATATTAAGTGTACCATTATAATCTAATTAAATATTGAATATATCAATCTAATTTCAATTAGAGAACAGCCTAAACTGTGTAACATGTTCAAACATGAACCATACCTTGTACTTACATAAGTATATTCCGATTATATTATTCATGTTATATTGATTAACTATACACTAGGTCGTATAATTTAAGTTAGTATAATTATTTGGTAATAAATTCTATTAATAAACAACAAAAATAATTAATAACAATAATTATTTATAGATTTTCATTCTAATTTGAATTTGTCAATAACCTTATTCATCGTGAAGATAGCTTTTAAAATAAAGTAAATTTCAATAAGAAATGGTTGTTTTAAAAGTTAATCAATATAATTATTATTAATGATTCATAATTCTATTATTATTAATTATTGTAATAAAAAATAGATTTTAATTTATTATGATAAATTTTACATCAATTTGATTTAATTTGTTGTCCATGAAGTTAGTTGCATAACGCTGTGTTTTCCCCTCGTTTAGTTTTCCTAAAAATCGTCAATTTGCCAAGGATATTCGTTCGCGAATTTAATCACATCTAAATAATTCATAAGTCTAAATCAGGATGAAATCTATTTATAAATAATCATTTAAGTTTATCACTTTTTTTACGCCCGCCGGGTTTTGAAGAGACATTGAGGTTATGTGTAAACAAAAATTTCGCGATATCTAACCGAAACTTCGTGTAGAGATAAATGTAGTGCTGATTACGTTGATATTGTTCGAAAATGAGTTATCAAGAGCCGAAAAGATTTATGTTTCACAAAAAATATACAAATAAAAAATCGCCATTGAAACATAAACCAGAAGTGGTGCCCCAAAGTCTTAATAGTTACATATGTTCAAAATGTAACCAATTCTATGATTTTCAATGTAAGTAAATTAAAAATAATTAATCAATAAACTAATTTTGTTCTCTTTGTTGCAGTATCAAGTAATAATACTTACATTGGTCGAGTGCCATTGTTGCTAAAATGCAAACACACCCTTTGTGAGGAGTGCATTTTATCATCAATGTTAAAAGATAAATTGGAATGTGTAGAATGTAACGATATAACCATTTTTAATGAAAAATACTCAAAGGATACTAAACTCCAAGATATTTTTCCTGTTAATTTTTACGTTTTCGGTATGGTTCTTTATTATCGTCGTTCAAGGGTTTTAAAACCAAATTTTACATTTCGACCTGTCCAAACAGATAAAATGATCAACAATAGCCTTGAAGATGAGACTTCAATGATTTGTTGTCAACTTAATTGCACCAATTTTGTCGCTTTAAAATGTTTTGATTCTGATTATATGCTGTGTGAAACATGTTTGAAATTATCTCATAATTCTTCAGCTGAAGCAGAACATGATATGGTCGATTTGAAAAATTTCACTCCCGAATTACAAGAAAAGTGTTTAGAACATAAAAGCAATGTTTTAGAATTTGCTTGTAAACAGTGTGATTTAAAACTTTGCTGTTATTGCGTTTTAAATAAACATAGAGATCATGATTATCATCAGCTTACCCAAATGGTAAGATTAAAAAATTATTTTTTAAATAAAAATTGTATAAAAAGTTATTATTTTGTATTTTATAGAATGATGAAGATTTGGGGAAAATTGAAGCTCTACTTGGTGAAATTGAAAATTCTTTGGGATATTTAAGAGCAACTGATAAGGTAGGTTTATTTTATTTCGATTTATTTTACAATCTTTTAAGTTAATTTACTAAGTTTCAAGTCAAGTGTGACTAGAAATAATTATACACACATTCTTACTGTCCATTGATACAAAAAAGAAAGAAAAACCGATTCGTCACCTTAAAAATATTAAATTATAAACTTAACCTATCTTAAAACAATACTGATATATTTATGATGGCTTAGAGCTTTATAATGAATTAAATGATACTTAAAATTGAATAAAGGGGGTACTTAAAGATCTTGCTATCACATCACAATTAAAAAGTAATAAACAGTGTGGCAGAGAAACTATTTTTTTAATAATTTGATTTTAAAATTATAAATGAGTCTGCTCACACTAATTATTTTATTAAAACATTATTTTTCATAATCTACCATTTCTTGTTCTTTACTTTCTTCTTCTTTTAATCGCATATCTTGTTCTTGGTTTTTGAGTCTAAGCTGTTCCGCATCGTCTATTTCGATTTTTTCTGTTGTGGCATCTCCATTTTCCTTATCCATGCGTTCTTTATTTTTTTTGCGTTCTTTTTTCATTTTTTCTTCCATTTCTTGGAATTTCAAAGCTAAATATCTAAAAAGAACAATATCTTATCAGTGACCTTATTCATAAAATTGTTATGTTTTTGATAAAAATGAGTAAGACTCAACAATGCATTTTATACATTGTGTAAGTGGGGTTTCTCAACTTTTATCAAACGCAAACTTTTTCATTATTTTATATTTTATTATAAGAAGGACTATGTCATTGTGCTCTCGCGGTAGACCACACTGATATACTTCAGATTGAATTAATCGCTAAAACGACAGAAACGCTGCAGAATTACTGCATCCACTGTATTAGTTGTGTCAGCGATAGTTATCGCCTAATGAACCACACCCTCAATAGTAAACTCACTCTTTCCTTGATAGGGAATAAGACGAGATTAAATTTAGGTCAAAATTGAAACTCGAAATTTGCAAATATTTGAGAAATTAATCAATTTGTATACCGGGAATTACATATAACTCGCAATATATGAATGCAGTAACCATAGTTACGAAACTACTATGCACTTGCACTGCCCAAGATAAAATGCAACATAACTTAATACTACAGGCATTGAGTAGTTTTGCAAAGGAAAAGTTTTGTTTGGAAAAAGGTAACGTCCTTATGATAACCCTGAGTTTTTTGTCGTCTTAAGAGACGCACGACTAAACCCGAATGTTTCTGGTTCTAGGTCTCGTGTTAAGTCAAGTGGTAGTGCTAGTGCAACACTAGAACTAACAGTAGACCGAGAACTGGTAAAATTCGGATTAAACGGCACGTCTCTCAAGACGGCTAAAACCGGATGATTCTAGTTCTAGGTCTTGTGTTAGTTCAAGTGATAATGGTAAGTGCATCACTAGAACTAACACAAGACCTAGAACTAGAATAATTCGGGTTTAGCCTCACGTCTCTCAAGACGGCTAAACCAGAATGATTCTAGTTCTAGGTCTTGTGTTGGTTCCAGTGATAGTGCAAAACTACAACTAACACTAGACCGAGAACTAGAAACATTCGGGTTTAGCCGCACGTCTCTCAAGACGGCTAAACGCGAATGATTCTAGTTCTAGGTCTTGTGATGGTTCTAGTGATAGTCCAAAACTACAACTAACACTAGACCGAGAACTAGAAACATTCGGGTTTAACCGCACGTCTCTCAAGACGGCTAAACCCAAATGATTCTAGAGCTAGGTTTTGTGTTAGTTCTAGCGATAGTGCTAGTGTAAAACTAGAACTAACACTAGACCTAGAACTAGAATCATTCAGATTTAGCCGCACGTCTTTCAAGACGGCTAAACCCGAATGATTCTAGTTCTAGGTCTTGTGTTGCTTCTAGTGATAGTGCAAAACTACAACTAACACTAGACCGAAAACTAGAATCATTCGGGTTTAGCCGCACGTCTCTCAAGACGGCTAAACCCGAATGATTCTAGTTCTAGGTCTTGCGTTGGTTCTAGTGATAGTGCAAAACTACAACTAACACTAGACCGAGAACTAGAAACATTCGGGTTTAGTCGCACGTCTCTCAAGACGGCTAAACCCGAATGATTCTAGGTCTTGTGTTAGTTCTACTGATAGTGCAACACTAGAGCTAGAATTACAACCATTCGGGTTTAGCCGCTCGTCTCTCAAGACGGCTAAAACCGAATAACTCTAGTTCTAGGTCTTGTGATGGTTCTAGTGATAGTCCAAAACTACAACTAACACTAGACCGAGAACTAGAAACATTCGGGTTTAACCGCGCGTCTCTCAAGACGGCTAAACCCAAATGATTCTAGAGCTAGGTTTTGTGTTAGTTCTAGCGATAGTGCTAGTGTAAAACTAGAACTAACACTAGACCTAGAACTAGAATCATTCAGATTTAGCCGCACGTCTTTCAAGACGGCTAAACCCGAATGATTCTAGTTCTAGGTCTTGTGTTGCTTCTAGTGATAGTGCAAAACTACAACTAACACTAGACCGAAAACTAGAATCATTCGGATTTAGCCGCACGTCTCTCAAGACTGCCAAACCCGAATGATTCTAGTTCTAGGTCTTGCGTTGGTTCTAGTGATAGTGCAAAACTACAACTAACATTAGACCTAGAACTAGAAACATTCGAGTCTGAAGACGCACGGCCAAACCCAATACGTTCCAGTTCTAGGTCTAGTGTTAGTTCTAGTTTTACAATTAGTGTAATAAAAATATTCAACATGGTGATATCTTAGGCTAACTAGCGCTACCTACCACTGTCACTAGAACTTTAGCCGTCTTAAGAGACACACGGCTAAACGGAATGTTTCTAGTTCTAGTGTTAGTTCTAGTGCTAGTGTTAGTCTAGTTTTATTTATTATTCAGCGCTAGATTGTTGCATATTTATATTGAGTTATAAAGGCCATTGCGTTCCCCGTAATGAATAGTTATTTATTATACAAGGGAAAAAGTATTAGATTTTAGCTCGAGGTTGTATTGTCAAACAAGAGACAAAAACGGAGAGCTAAAATCTAATATTTTTCTTGTGTATAATACACTATTTTCTTTTGTGACAGGAAAAACGACGATTTAATATTGAAAAATATATTAATACAATATATTAAAGTCAGAAAATGGTTGTACTTGTTGTACTTATAGCGACAATTAGACCTTTGCTAAGGAAATCTTTAAATATCTGTCAATTTGATCCTGTGATTTAATTTAAAAATTAATAACTTAGTGGTTGTTTAGTAGTTATTTTGAATAATATAAAGTTAAAAAATGTCTGATTCCGAGTTTTCTCTGACTCCACCGGAATTAGTACAAGCAGCGAAAGTAGCGTCACAAAAACCATTGCCATTCAAGATATTATTTAAGATTGATGGAGTGGAAGATGAGAAAGGCATGCAGTTCTTTCACAACAACAAAAGCCATCCACAGTGTGATCGAGTTATTCAATGATTAAAAGTATGTTACAATCCAACAATAATGTAGACATTTCAAAATATTTCGAACTAATTACATTTCTGAAACAAAATGGGAAAGGTTACACGCCCAAGAAAGCTGCGATTTTTACGAGTACACAAATTAGTGATTTTTTAAATGATGGTCCCGATGAAGTTTATTTAATGGCCAAGGTTGTTGTTGTATTTGAGATTGCAGGAGCTTGTCGAATGTGTGAAATCAGCCTGGTAACATTAGATGATATTGAAAATTCGGGAACGCTATTAATTGTGAAACTTAAGCAAAGAAAGAATTATGTAAACAGGAGATTTGTAGTTACTGAAGAATATATTAAATTTTACCGAGTGTACATACATAGCCCTTCGTCCAGCAGCAGCAAAGATGCATATCGCAATGGAAAATGTATCAATCAGGTTGTAGGTAAAAATCTGTTTTATAAGGTACCTCAAACAGTAGCTAATTTTCTTCAACTTGAAGTCTACTTGAACTCATATATACGATTTTGAAGATCGTCTGCTACACTTTTAGTTGAATCTGGGGGAGACTTGATGATACTAAAGAAACATGGCGGTCGCTAAAGGGTATGTAGATGAATCGGTAGCACACAGGGCAGAAATGTTTAGAATGTGTGGCAGTGTTGAAATAACACCTGATTTGCGACCAGATACATCAACGGCAGTTGTGTCCATGGCAGAAAAAAAAATATAATTTCAACACCAGAAACTATTCTACCGAATAGTTCAAGGAAGATATCATTCATGCAACACACATTTAATAATTTTAATAATAACAATGTTTATTGCCTCAAAAACAAATTAAGTATGTACATAAATATATACATTCATAACAAATACAGACAACAAGACAAACGGATCAATTTATCGCAATAAGCGATATCTTCCAAGAGACCCAACTTAAATAAATTATGACTAACCAAAAAGAATACTAAATGATGTGATAATAAAACTTAGCTAATGAACATATTTGAGTTATGTAACGGATCGACAGTCAGTTACTACAAGGAAGGAAATAGACACAAAAAAAAGTGCTGTAAAAGATAGATAAAAGACAAACTAGTAAAAGATCTGTGGTAGATTTCAGTGCTATGGACTGGAAACATGAGTTTAGAGTTCGACATTGATCGAGTGGGCAAGTCATGTGATGCTAAAAAGTGAAAGGCATCTGACAAATAAGCAGGAATGCGGGTATGGACAATTTTGTCCAACATAGTAAGCATACGAAATGATCTACGACTCTGGCAAGTCATCATCTGCAGGTTGTTACGATATGGAGTAATGTGCTGAAACTTTCCTAAATCAAAAATTTACCGTATACAATTGTCTTGAATTCTTTCCAATTTCCCCCCTGAAGGCTCGGACAGATCGGGATACGCAGCATCGGCATAATCAATGTGTGGGAAAATGAGAGAATAACAAAGATTACGACCTACAACAGGAGGAAGGTAGCATCGAAGTTTTTTCAAAGTATGGAAACAGAAGTAAACCCTCTTACAGACTCCCTGAACTTGTGGTCGCCAAGACATCGTCAAATCCATTACCACACCAAGATTTTTGACCGTATTAGAAAACGGAATAATGGTGTCGCCAAACCTCAGTTTCGAAGTTTCGGCGGGTAGTTAAGGAATTAAATTGTGGCAGCAAGGGGCGAGTGCCAAATGCAATGGCTTGCGTTTTACCTGGATTCAGGTTAAATCCATGACGTCTAGACCAGTCAAGTACACTAGAAAGATCGTTGTTAAGATGCAACAAAACATCTGGGAGATTGTTAACGGTTGACGAAATATAAAGTTGAAGGTCATCTGCATACAAATGATAGTTACACGAGATACCATCACTAATACTATTTATGAAAATTGAAAAGAGCCCAGTACACTGCCCTGGGGAACTCCACCTTTGATGTCAACAGGAGAAGAGAGTACAGATTCCACGCGGACACGTAAAGACCGATAGGAAAGGTAGGACTGGAACCAAGATACACAAGAAGAGAATCAAAGGCCTTACTAAAATCAAGTAACACTAGCAAGGTAACACAACGCTTATCAAAAGCAGATCTAATATCATCGGTGATTTTAATCAGTGCTGTAGTAGTACCATGCCCCTCACGAAAACCAGACTGTAACTTGTTAATCAGATTAAACTCCTCAAGATATTTCTGAATCTGTAAATAAACTAAACGTTCAATAATAATTTTGACAACATAGATAGAATAGAAATGGGTTGAAAGTCACCAACATGGGACGGAGATTTAATTTTTGGGGTAGGAATAACATGGGTGATTCACCAGATTGATGGAAATATAGACTGTTCAAAAGAACAGTTGAAAATATGTGTTAGGGGAGTAATAACTATATCCAGAATGGGTAAGAGGAATCAGTCCAATACCATCTGCTCCGACACTAGTGGACTTGGAGTAAGTTAAATAAAAAATTAAAATTAAATTAAAACCATTAAATTAAATTAATATAAAGGAAATGAAACATTTGTATAATAAAATATTCTAAAATTGAGTATCTACCTTTACTCTACCTGATAACTATCCGGCTGATAAAGTTATCGGGAGGATAAACATATTCGCTGTTGTACAAACTGCTTTTGTCATATCTAGTGATTTGTTCCGTAGGTTGGTAACGCTAACGTCTTTCTTTGAACTTTGAATTATGATTTTGACAATAATACCAATTTAAGTACGAAGGCTTTCACGGCCGGTGTTAATTGAACTAAAATTAGACCTAAAACTAGAACTAACAGTAGAAACTTTCGGGTTTTGCCGTGCGTCTTTTAAGAGAAGGTTTCGAAAAAGTACATCGAAGTACCACTTCGAACCAGTTTCTGAAGAAGGTTGCAACATGGCATCCGCAACGTCAAACCTTTTCTTAAAAGACGCACGACAAAACCCGAAAATTTCTAGTGTTAGTTCTAGTTTTAGTTCTAATTTTAGTTCAAATAATACCAATTGTTTAAAAATTTTTCACGACAGACAACTCACAACGTACGTATTGGGTTAACGGTTGATGTTATAGGTTAACCTATATATGCAGTAATCATACAAAATTTTTATATAAAAACCTTGGTAACAGTAAATATCTGGCGGATAACTGTCTTATCGGCACCACTGGGTACCCGATAAGCTCATCGCTAAAAATATCCGTACATTGTAATACAGTACAAATTAAGTTATCGGCCAGATAACGCTATCGGGAAGTTTATTAAAATTATTTCATAAAAAGTGTCAACGTTTTTCCCGTCACAGAAAAAACTATATTTTTGTATATTGCATCTTAAGTGAAATTCACTGTATATTATGTTATGCACAAAATAGGTACAAATGTATACATTAACCTATAATTGTGTACACATGCAATATTGTTGGAAAATGTAAGTCTCATTTGTCACTATATGTACGTGTATTACCCAGAAAATGTACTCATTTATCTAAGCATCTTGTTAAACGTTAGTACACATTGTCCGAAAAAACTATACAACTCACCAACACAAATTTAATTTGTTAAATAAATAAATTTATTTACCTATCAACTAAAGGTCCACTGTAATCTTCAGGAAATTTCGGAGAAAACGGTAAAATATACTTGTATAGTCTTTCGTTTAAAACATACAATTGTGGTGTTGTAGCACATTTAACGTTATACCACCAATCGCAAGTTAAAGCGACTTGACTGAAAATGGTTCCATTTGGACACAGAAATGATGCTTGCCCACCATTAAAATCGCAATAATGCCAAACCTAAATTAAAAAAAAATATTTAAAAATAGTTTATTTTAAACATTGAGTTTGTAAATAATTTCGTAAAAATGAATTTTGGGTTTTTGTAGTTTAATCAAATTACAAGTAACAAATTAATACGTACATGTTAAACGTATTAAATATTAAATAGCCCTTAAAATTAAAATCGCTTAATTAACTCTACATTCAGCTCGTTTATGAATAGTCCAGTTCTGAATGCGTAATGAACTTGACATTATTTCAAACTCTTTTACTGTCACGTTCTTTGTAACACCATCGCAGTGTTGAAATATTTATTTAAACCACTTTCATTATTTTAATTTTTTTCTAATTAGAGCTTTTTTTTTTACCAACCTGACAATTTGTATCCGGATCTCCAAAAAAACCTTTGTACCGTTGCGTTTTGCAATTAAATCTCGTTTGCGGGATGCTGCTTAGAGCGGGGTAATCAACTCCGGGAGTTCCGGGTGTCCCGCCTTCCGGCGTATTATCGGGGAAGTTTTGCACGATCGTTCCAGGTACTTTTTCAACCACCTGATTGTCATCGTTTTCGGGCAAATCCGGAACGACAATTGGTTTCTTCGAGAGCCTTTGGTGTTTTCTCAACGCATTTAAAATCTTAATTAACGTCTTTATACTGTTATCGATATTTTCGGGTGTTAAATTTTGGGGTAAAGCATTTACTTCTTGTAATTTTCGCAAAATGTAACCTAAATTTGGTTGACTTGTTTGAGGTGAGTGAATGGGTTGTTGAATTTGCTGCGGTTCATAATTTTTTTGTGGTGGTGGTTGTTGAACTTGTTGGAGATTGTGAAGCTCTTGATTTCTTTGTAATTCTTGATTTCTTAGTAATTCTTGATTCCTTTGTAATTCTTGATTTCTTTGTAATTCTTGTATTCGTTGTAATTCTTGATTTCTTTGTAATTCTTGATTTTGTTGATACTCTTGATGTTGTTGATTTGTTAACTTAGGATTGTTATAAACTGTATTATACGAAACATCATCAGTTGGTGGATCAATAATCGTTTTATATTCTGGATTATAAAGTTGATATTGTTGGTTAGTTTCAGGAATTTTTTGAATTACGATTTGCGGCGAATAGTTTTCTTGTTGCGTATCTTGAATCGCTAAATATTGATAATTGGGTTGGTTTTGATATTTTTTCTGTTCGTCTTCGGCGATGCGCTGCTGTTGATAATAAATCCTCTGTTGGTCCTCGTAGATCCTCAATTGCTCCTCAAACGTCCTTTGCTTTTCCAAGTCTTTGTACTGCGGGGCCCTCTGACCTATTATGATGATCGGCTTTCCCTGTCTAATTGGGACTTTTTGGGCAACGTTTTGCAGCTCCTCTCGAGGAAATTCAATGGGCCTTCCTGAATACGCAACTTGCTCTTTGACGTCCGTCGCGTATTGAGGCGTCGCGACGTTGCTGTACGTTTGAACTATCGGTTTCGAAGCTTGTGTCTTCTGTGTTTCTTGTACTGCAGGTACCAGGTACCTAATTAACGGTTGCCTGTCGTATTCGATATTGTCCTGTTGCGACCGCTGAGATTGTTGTTGTTGGTTCCTTTGTCGATTTTCCTGACGGAATTTCAAACGGGATAGTGTATCGTATATATCTGCATAGTTCGGCTGACGTTGATTCAAGTTCATAGGGATAAAAGGACCTGGTAAAGCGTTAGATTCCGTGAATGGATTATTTTGAGAATTTTGTGAATATTGGGATGTAGGTTGTTGTTGGTGAATCTTTGGGAAGGCAACTCGATATTTTTGAGGGGATTTTTGATGATTATTTTGATTAAAACTTTGTTGTAGGTAATAATTCATGTAGGGTAATAATCTTTTTTGTCTTTCTCCAGCTGGAAGGGTAATGTTAAATGTTTCTTTTAATTGTAGGCTTTTCATGGCTTTAGCCATTGGAGCTACGTTGGCATCGTGAGGCTTATCATGATGAATTGTTGTTATACACGAGATTTGTTGAAATAAACCTGAAACAAAGAAATAATAAAGTTGTGTTAACAAAATAATCTTTTTAAATCGAATTAATTGAGGGATATTTTAAATTGCGTAACCTAGGGGACCTAAATGCTCCCCCAAAGGGATGGTTTTTAAGTGAATTAGACTTGCTCGAGGTAACGGCTTCATCCAACACTGTGAAAGTGATAAAGTAAGGTCGTAACCGGACTCGATTGAATGTGTCGGTTTTCCCGGAGTTTTAACGACTCTTTCGCTGCACCGAAATACGGCCTCCTTCCGCACGTTATAAACTCATCTTGTTAGTTAATGGAAAGCGCCTACACGAGGTTCCACTCCAAGAATTACAAACAACAAATAAAACATATTTAAACAAAAATGATCGAATTCTCTTAAAACTTGCCGTTTGAATCAACTTTAATTTGTTCTAACTAGCTCTTCGGCCGTATTGTTTCAGTTAAATACGGAACAAGGTGGAAAGCGCTTAAAATGTTTATTGAGGTAACAGTTTGACGGTTTGCGTCGACCAATCCCCATTAATCAAATCAACACCTGCTGTTGACCGCCATCGTTGCAAATTAATAACAAACCCGGACCTGATCACGATCGTTCAGACCGCGTCCGAGCAAATACGACGACGTGCCTATTCGTCGGTGTACCGTTTCAACGCGTTACATCCGGTCGTGTGCCCAGCAAGCACGAACGGCTGTTGATTTACGAATTTATCTCACCTACAAAATACAGGTACGGGTTCAGATCAAAACATGAAAACCTCAAAAACAAATTTGCGTGTCATTAAAATCTTTTTTATGTTTTACAAATATTTAGACAAGTTTCGAGAATCGTTTTTTATTTTTCAAACCGATTTCATTTACAGTCAAACATCTTCAGGCGATATATTATGACTGATGTCATTTTCATCTAAATTTTGTTATGCTTTAAGATCTAATCTTAGGAATATCTTCCTGTGCTGGAATGTATTCTTGAAACGTTCAACATCTTGAGTGACAGATAGACTTGGTAGCTTAATAAACCTTTTAAAATAAAAATGTTAAAAATATCCATTTAGACATGATTTACAGTAATGACTCGATAATCCGGATCAATTAGAACAAGGTAATTCGGATTAAATGATATTTCGAATTACTGACATCATTCTTGTTATTTGAGGAAAGAAAAGAAAATGCAAAATTTATGCAACTACACGTGTTGTAATACCAATACTGTGATGTTGGTTGCATACTTGCAATGATGACGTCGAGTACGGTAATTAATTAATACACTGTATATACTATAAATAACAAAAATAAATTATAATTTAATGTTAATTTAAAAAATGTTTCTTATAGTAATACAACAAAGTGATGAACACTCGTTTTACAGAAAATCTGTAATTTTTGTTTGTTTCTTTTTTGGCTGTTGACTTCTTAGATAATTATGTAGCAATTATGTTTTGTTTTACTATGGCCAATGGCATCAAATCTTGCATTCTTCATCAGCTTCCCATTCTTCATTGCTATCTAAGCTTTTCCAAGATTTCTTAATTAAGGAAGATGTCGTTTTTTCCATGAAGCTTGAAGTAGGCATATAGATTCGTTAATCTTTAGATAAAATTGTTTTGTTGTTAAAATAGTGCCCTAGTACTATTTTTTTTTTGTTAGATCCTACCAAAATTTTATCTGGAAGAATTTTATAAAATAAAGCTAACTCGTCTGTTTTGTATATTTGATTAGAGCTTTAGTTTTCTTTTCTAATATGTTGAGCCAACTTTTTCTTAGTGTATTATTTGTTTATGAAGTATTTAAATCATTTTAATCGTAAACCACTTGTAGATTGTGCTACAATACACACTGTTGCTACAATTTGTAACATTTTATACCACCTCTGCCGAGATAGATTTCGGCTAAACCTAAAACGATGATTATATGATATTGTTTTATTAATGTGAGTTTGCTTATAACCTAGGAGCTTCAATTAATATCATATCTCCACAAAGTTAGTTGACATATTAAAGCGCCGAGGTCGCTTGCGGACGAGACGTTACAATTTATAACGTATTACATCATATCAGCCGAAATGAACCTCGGTTCAATGTAAGACGATTTATATGATATTGTTTTGTTAAGATGAGGTTGCTTAAAATCTACTCGCTTCAATTAATACTATATCACCGTTAAATTAGTTGATATATTAAAGCGCCGAGGTCGTTTGCGGGCGAGGTGCTACAATTTGTAACATTTTGTATCACCTCAGTCGAGATAGAGCTTGGCTAAACCTAAAACGATGATTATATGATATTGTTTTATTAATGTGAGGTTGCTTGTAACCTAGGAGCTTCAATTAATATCATATCTTCGTAAAATTAGTCGATATATTAAAGCGCCGAGGTCGCTTGCGGACGAGACGTTACAATTTATAACGTATTACATCATCTCACCCGCAATGAACCTCAGTTAAATGTAAAACGATTTGTATGATATTGTTTTATTAACATGAGGTTGCTTAAAATCTTCTCGCTTCAATTAATACTATATCATATTCATATCTTCGCAAAATTAGTCGATATATTAAAGCGCCGAGGTTGCTTGGGGGCGAGGCGGTACAATTTATCTCTATAATCAACAATAATCTACTGTAACGTTGATTATATGATATTGTTTTATTACTGTGGGTATCAAGTCCACAATATACACAATAATATAATTTATTTTGTTAATAACTATATTTTAACAACATTTGTGATTTGTAACAACATTATTTGTGATAATAATAAATTGATTAATAATAATTTCTATTGATATAATACTTTGAATTGATGAATGAATTAATTTGAAAGGACTGATAGATTGATAATAATAATTTTTATAATAATAATAATTTGTATAATAATAATAATTTTATATGGTAACGTGGTTTTGTTTGTACAGGGTGGGCCAATGTGGGTGTTGTTATTATAAACGAATAATGAGGATTTTTTGAAATCGCTAAAATTTGACTTTTTGGCTATAACTTAAAAACAAAAGAAGATAGAGATTTGCTCTTTGCGGGATTGGATTAGTCTCGGAAAAAAAGACCGAGACATGGCACCTACTTTTTTCGTATCTTTTATAGTTTTTGAGATAGCCTATAATAACACCCAAATTTGCCCACCCTGTACATGTCGTGCGCACAGCATGCTACAACCAGGGAATCAATGAATTTGACGTCGACCTCAACACACCTCTCGGAAGATCAAAAACATCGCACCACAACATCACCACACGACGAATTACTAACAATAATCCAAAATCTGACGTGTCAAGCACTTGTGACTACCATTACACAACAACAACAGCAACAAGACAACAGGACAAAAAATTTAGAAAATCAAATAAATTCTTTGACTACCCAATTTCAAAACATACCACCAAATACGTCGAAGAATTGTAATTGTAATTGTTTTCACAATTCTCGAGATAGACATCGTTCTTTATCACGTCACTCGCGGAATAGATCTAATTCTACGAGTTATTGGACTATTTGTTGGTATCACCGTAAATTTGGAGACAACGCAGTTAAATGCGAAGGAACATCTTACAAATTTTATATTCCTTCACCGACAAAAACAAAAATTTTCCATCGACATCAAAAAACTAATAAAGGTTTCAAAAGAAAAACAAAATTTTTCCAAATTCAAAATTTTGGCAAAAAATCAACCTCAATTTATGATAAATTCTGTCTGTTCGCGACTTTTCATTTTTGACAATCAAAATAACCTAAATTTTTTAATTGAGACTGGAGCTGACATTTCGGTTCTACCTCATAAATTATATTCGAAACGTAACCAAGATATAAACTCAAACTTTTCTGCCTCTAATGGTACTACAATTAGTACATACGGTAAAAAAATGCTTACAGTTTCATTAAATCTAAGAAGGAATTTCCCATTCGTATTTACCATAGCTAATGTTAGTAAACCAATGATCGGTGCGGATTTCCTTCATGCATTTGGTATCTTGGTGGATATAAAAAAGAAGCAATTGGTAGATTCGAAAATTAATTTGTTTTCAATCGGTTCCATTGTCAAAAATACTATTCCAACTCCCAAAATATTTTCTTTTGAAACCAAATATACAACCCTTTTGAAAAATTTTCCAAACCGGACTTTACAAAACCAGTTGGACATAACACTCGACACAGAATAGTTACCAACTCACAATTACCGTTTTGTCGTCCCAGACGTTTAAACGTGCACAAATACAACATCGCAAAGAAAGAATTCGAACAAATGGTGGCATTAGGAATCTGCCGACCTTCTTCTTCTTCTACAGCATCGCCAGCGACCATGTAGAGACTACCGACAACTCAACATCACAGTACCAAATCGTTATCCTCTTCCGCACATTCAAGATTTTAACTTACATTTACACAATTGCAAAATTTTTTCAAAATTAGATCTGACAAGAGCTTATCACCAAATTCCTGTAGAAGAAGACGATATTCCTAAAACGTATTCCGTTTCGGATATAATTTGTGAGGTAGAACCGAAATGTCAATAAAATAAAATAAAATAAAAAAAATCATGAAAGATAAACTGGGTTCTCGCAGTACAGGAAGTGAAAATGGTAACGATCAAGAGCGCCCGCCGCCTCCTAAAACGGAGCCTGAACACCCCTTAGTGATTCTGCGACTCACGCGCCCCCGGAAACACAATGGTATCATGGGCGATTGGATAGGTATCAAGCCGAGGAACGCCTTTGGGAGGAGAACCGATTGGGAAGTGATCTTGTAAGAGAAAGTGATCGTAAACCGGGATCGTACGTTTTATTTTATTTGATAAGAACTGGAATAAATCATTTTCAAATAACAGCGGTTTGTGATGATTTTTATATTGGGAGACGTCAATTTGATTCTTTAAATGATTTGATTGGGTATTACACACAATTTAGTGATTTATTAAAAAGGGAAAGATTAATTCATCCAGTTGCACCTCCGGAATCAGTTAACGATAAAAAGAGACTCGTTGCAATTCTTC